TTATCTTAATTAGGGTACTCCAGAGGGGCCAAAGAGCCGCATGTGGCTCGAGAGCCGCAGTTTGCCGACCACGGGCCTAAATCAGCGGTCGCCAACCTTTCAGACCTCATGGACCACCAGTGGTTCCCAGACCACCGATTGTCAAACACTGGCCTAGATAGCCTAATGAGGGTTTATAGGTTAGAAATTTTCTTTTATTACTTTTAGTATTCCCTCTTTATCTGTGATTTTTGACAGTTTTATTATAATGTGTCTTAGAGAGGATTGTTTTAAATTGAAATAATGAGGTGATCTATGAGCTTCAAGCACTTGGACGTCCAAATCTCTTCCCTGGTCTGTAAGTTCTAATAAACTTTATGCCCCCTTTCCCTTTCTTTACCTTCTGGAACTCTGGTGGTTCTGATATTGGTTCTCTTGATGGTGTCTTATAAATCGTAGGTTTGCTTCACTCTTTTCATTCTTTTTTCTTTGTTCTCCTCTGACTGGGTTATTTCAAAGTTCCTATTCTTTAATTCACTGATTCTGTCTTCTGCCTGTTCTATTGTGCTGTTGGTACTCTGTCTTGTGTTCATTTCATTTATTGAATTTTTCAGCAACAGAATTTCTGTTTGGTTGTTTTTATGATTTCTATCTCAGTTTATTTCTCATTTTGTTCATTTTTGTTTTCTTGATTTAATTTAAATTTTTTTTTTTTAGTTCATTGAGGTCCCTCAAAACAGCTGTTTTTAATTCTTTATTGGGTAAATCACAGATCTCTGTCTTTGGGTTCAGTTTTTGGGGTATTATTGTGACCTTTTGGTGATGTCATGTTCCTTTGATTCTTTATGTTTCTTGTAGTTTTGCATTGCTGTTTTGGCATTTGAAGTAGCAGTCCCCTCCTCCAATCTGTACTTGCTGCCTTCATGAGGGATTTTTTTTTTTGGTCAGCTTATATTTTGGGGCTATCTCTCACCTTATATGATTGAATACACCTGTTGTACAATTCTTGCTTCCTCTTGTGGATTCTTAAGCAGTTGATCTTACAGTAAACCAGGCTAACTGGTGGGAACCTCTCTTTCATTGTCACAAAGGTGGCAGTACAGCTCATAATTATGGTTTCTCCCTTGCCCACAGACCCCAGCTGTTCTGCATGCACTCCCTATCTGCCTGAGCTTGCTCTTGCTGTAGCCCTCTGAAACACGTACTAGTAAAAGGAGCTGGCTCCAGAGGGTATGGGTTTGGCACTTGGGGACTTGGGCGTTCCCGTGGGTCAGGTGAAGGAATCCTTGGGTGAGGTTTTTTCCGACAGCTTATGGATGGGCTTTTTGCTGGAGTCTAGAACACAGAGAACTGCATCTTTTTAATGCCTTCTGATATTCTCATCTGCCACTTCTCTGAACCCCTTCCTTCTCCAAGTAATGGACTTTTGCTTTAATACTCTGAATCCTGTGGGCAAGAGATGGGTTTCTTTAGCAGCCCCACAACTGGGGAAGTTGGGTGCTTACTCCTCTCCCTTTCCCTTTCCCCCACAGGGAGGGATCCCCGAGAGCCTCTTAAGCTGTGCCGCCTCCTGGGCAAGGGTGATGCTGACAAAGTTCCTCTTATCCACTTTGATGCATCAAACTTGTATATATTTTTTACCCCAGTGGAGGGCTGGAACTTCTGCAGAAACCTGGATTTCTATTAAGGCTTTCTTTTACATACATACATATATATATGTTTTACTGATTTTTTACAGAGAGGAAAGGAGAGGGGTAGAGAGTTAGAAACATCGATGAGAGAGAAACATCGATCAGCTGCCTCCTGCACGCTCCCTACGGGGGATGTGCCCGAAACCAAGGTACATGTACATGCCCTTGACCGGAATCGAATCTGGGACCCTTGAGTCCGCAGGCCGACGCTCTATCCACTGAGCCAAACCGGTCAGGGCAAGGCTTTCTTATCTGTATGTGTCACGTCATTATTTTCCTGCAATCAAGAGGGTTGGAGTCAATTCACAGGCTCCTGCTGATTCCACAGCCCTTACCTGGGTCTGGGGTCTGTCTGCCTATTATCTGATGCATTAGTGGGAGAGACCCTTTCCGGCTCCCTTGGCATATGGTGCTGGATTTCAAGCACCTCCCACGGAGGCCCTTTTATTTATGGAGAGTTGCCAAATTTTAGAAGTTAAAAGGCAACAAAATGAGGGACATCTTATGCTGCCATGATGCTGATATCATTCCTCTTACTGCTTTTTTTAGAATAAGCTCTTTATTCTATAGCTAAATCTAGAAGTCAGTAGTTCAAGAATTTGCGAAGTGGTGGTTCTTTGTAGTTCTTAGCTTATTGGTCTTAGTTGAGCACTGAGCTATATGGTAGTGATGCCTACTCCTTCCGAAGCACCTGACTTAAACTAAGGGATAATTTTTTTTATTGAATGATTTTTAGAGAGAGAGGAATGGCGGGAGGGGGAAGAGAGAGAGAAAAAAAGAAGAGAGAGAGAGAGAGGGAGAAAAAAAAGGATTTGTTTTTCCACATATTTATGCATTCATTGGTTGACTTCTATCTGTGCCCTGACTGGGGATTGAACCTGCAACCTTGGGGTATCAGGATGACCCTCTAACCAAGTAAGCAACCTGGCCAGGGCAAACTAAGGAATAATTTGGTTATCAGGAAGAATTAGATTATGCTCAATCCAAGCACCACTACACATATGGCTGTTGAGCACTTGAAATGTGGCTGGTCTGGATTGAGATGTGTTGTGAATATAAAATACACTCTGGATTTTGAAGGCTTGGTATAAACAAAAAAATATAAAATGTCTCATTATATTTTTATAATATTTATTGCATGCTGAGATGACAGTAGTTTGGATTTATTGGATTAAATGAAATATATTAAATCACTTTTGCCTGTTTTTCTTTTTTTTTAAAAAAAATATATATTTATTGATTTCAGAGAAGAAGGGGGAGGGAGAGATAGAAACATCAGCGATGAGAGAGAATCATTGATTGGCTACCTGCTGCATGCCCCCTACTGGGGATTGAGCCCGAAACCTGGTCATGTGCCCTTGACCAGAATTGAACCTGGGATCCTTCAGTCCACAGGCTGATGCTCTATCCACTGAGCCAAACTAGCTAGTACTGTTTTTATTTTTCTAATATGGCTTCTAGACAATTAAAAAGTACATATGTAGCTCATGTTACATTTCTAATGAGTATTTAAAAGTGTATAAGATAGGGTACCTCTTCCCTAGGAGTCTGGTGGGGAAGAAGACGGGCACTTAAAGTGGGTGGTAATTGCCAGATTGGAGCTCATGCCCAGGAGAGATCTAGCCCAGTTTTGAGGGTCTACAGAAGGTGTCCTTTAGGGCAGTTAGCACCTTGTGTTTTCTTCCTTTTTAACCTTCTCTTGAGGATTTTACTTTTTGGATTGAAGTAAATACAAGTCAAAAGCTTTAAAAAATGTTTGAGAATCATTTATTTTAGTGGTATTGGTTCTCACTCTAATGAAACAAACCAAGGTTAAAGTAGAAGGCATGTCTGCTTACAGAGACCACTGCTCAGTCCTCCCCCAGAACTGGCTTAGACAACGAAATGGATGGTGGTGCTACTTGCTAAGTATGGAACACAGGTCAATTTAAGATCTGTTGAGTTCACGGTGTCTGTGGGACGCCGAGATGGGGAGGAACATTAGTCAGTTGGATGTGTAGAGATAGAGTCCAAGAAAAATTTCCGCTGACAATGTGATTGATATTAGATGAAGTCATAGAGTATGAGGTCATCAGGAAGTGAGTAAAGTGAAAAATGGACAAACCTCTGAGGAACAGGAAAGGTTAAGGCAGCGGTTCTCAACCTGTGGGTCGCGACCCCTTTGGGGGTTGAAAGACCCTTTCACAGGGGTTGCCTAAGACCATTGGAAAGCACATATATAATTACATATTGTTTTTGTGATTAATCACTATGCTTTAATTATGTTCAATTTGTAACAATGAAATTGGGGGTCACCACAGCATGAGGGACTGTATTAAAGAGTCATGGCATTAGGTAGGTTGAGAACCACTAGGTTAAGGAAAAGGAATATAAAGGTCATTGAGAAAGAATGGCCAGGGAGATGTGCAGATAGTGTCAAAAGTAGCTAAGAAATAAAAATGAAGATGGAAATGTCCATTGTCTTTAATAATTAGGAGGTTATTGGGAAGAAGTGGGCTCCCTCCTGGAAAGGGTTGGGTTATGTGGCAAACAAGATTGAAGAAGGTTGAGGAATTAATGGGAGGTAAAGAATTGTTGACAGTGAAGTTTATTGTTTGGGAGTGAAGGGGTGGAGCGGAGTGGCTTGAGGTAGCTTGTGTTTAATATGTGATGTGAGAGTGTGTGTGTGTGTGTTCCTTCTCTTGTTGTAAATCCACTAGAAAACTGGACTTACATTCTTGGAATCCAGTGTAGTATCTTTCATAAGGGAGCTAATTAGTAAAACATTATTGATCATGATTTTGATTAACTTAACATCTCTTTTTCAACAAGATTCTTTATCAACATCAATTCTAAATCCTCTAAATGTTAAATCTACATAAAAGCGTGATTTTGTCTGAGTTAGAATGCATTAAGGCCTTTAGACCTACCTTACTGGAAAGAAATTGGGCTTTGTAAGTCCACTAAAAACTATAATTCAAATCTAGATTTTGACACTTTTTAGCTATGTGATCTTGAACTAATTGTCACTTCTGGCCTTTTCTTCCTCATCTAGGATTGAGGATAATAACACCTAACCTTAAAGGGTTGTGTCGGATTCAGTGAGGAAATGTGTAAAGGGTTTTGTATATAATACCTTATACTAAGTAGGCATTCGGTAAATGCTCTGTAGAAAAATTGCAGCTTTATGTGTTACACACGCCAAAACTACAGTTTTTATAATTTAATTTAAAGTAGTATAATATAATGTTATAACTTTACATAAGAGCAAGTATACTTAGTTGAAATTCAGCAAAAAATTAACCTTTAAGTAAAAAATATTTCTTTTCTTGTCCCCTCCTTCCCTTTCCAATCCAGGTCCTGAGGGAGTCTAACAAATTAGCAGAAATGGAAGAACCGCCCTTGCTTCCAGGAGAAAATATTAAAGACATGGGTCTGTAATGGTATTTTTTGCTGAATTTCCTTCTCCTTTATGACTGTAAAGACTATTCAGAACACCTTTCACCTCCACCCCTTTCGCTCTCAATATACAGAGAACAGGCTTACTGTCTGAAACACCTCCTGTCCTGTAGCACTCTTTACTGCTAGCCTTCCCAGCTGTAGTCTAGGCTTAGACCTGTTGGTTTTGTTTGTATTTGGACTGCTGGGAAACATACAAATAGAGTATTCTGCTGCTTCTCTGGTTTGCTTTATTTTCATTGAAAATAAGTGATTTAAAAAAATACATTGCTGAATTCTGTGAAGGAAAATGCTATTATTTTGAATTGAGACAGTAAGATAGTGGGTTGCCTAGATAAAAAACATTGAATTGCCACTTTGTACAAGTAATTTTTCTGAAAACACTTTCTGTCCTCTTTATTTTTTTCTACTCTGATTAAACTCAGCTCAGTTTTTGGGTGAAAATATTTCATCTCCATTGCAAAGCAAGCCATTTGCATATGGGTGTGTGCCTTTCTTTGTCCAGCCTATAGAACCAAGCATTAACTTATTGGATGAACTAGAAACTAGAAACATGCATTTAAGCTTTTTTTCTTTTGTCTTCATGATTTTACTTTATTTATTTATTTAATTCTTTATTGCTTAAAGTATTACACATGGCTCTTTCCCCCCCCCCCATTTCTATCATATGGTAGAAAAGGATCCACCCCCCCCCTTCTTCATGATTTTACTTTAAAATACCAATAGCTCTTGAGAAAGTAATATAATAGGAGAATAAAGTAAATGGTTTATTAACCTGGCCAGTGTGGCTCAGGGGTTGACCGTTGACCTATGAACCAAGGGGGTCACGATTTGATTCCTGGTCAGGGCACATGCCTGGGTTGTGGGCTCGATCCCCAGTAGCAGACATGTAGGAGGCAGCCTATTGATGTTTCTCTCTCATCAATGTTTCTTTTCCTCCCCTTTTCTTCCTCTCTCTGAAATCAATTAAAATGTATTTAATAAAATAAATGGTTTCTTAGCCAAAGTAAAACCACCAAAAAAAAATTTTTTTAAAGGACTTAGTAAATGCCTAATTTTCCTTTTCCAGGTGTTATTTTCCTGTGTAAAACTAAGCAAGGCAAAAGGTAACTACCTCCAAGTGGGATGGAGAGAGAGAGAGAGAGAGACACTGAGAGAGAGACTGAGAGACTGACTCTGATGTGAGAGAGATACATCAACTGGTTTCCTTCCCGCATGTGCCTGGACTGGGGCTGGAGATTGTACCTGCAACCGAGGTAATAGGTTGTGCCCTGGCCCTATATTGAGCCCACAACCCTTCAGTCCGCAGGCTGATGCTCTAACCACTGGCCCTATAGAGCCCACAACCCTTCAGTCCGCAGGCTGATGCTCTAACCACAGAACAAACAGGCTAAGGGCAAGAACTCTTTTTCTGAACTCTGCCATCCAATCAATTACCAGATCCAGAGGAGTTGATCTCTAAGAATATCTC